CCAGGGGATCTGATGACCTCTTCTTGGTTCTGCAGGCACTGCCTTGCACGCACACACACTGCACAGACATATGTGTAGGCAAAACACCCATACACATAAAAAAGGTCAATAAATAAATAGAGAGAGAGGGAGGGGGAGGGAGAGAGAGAAAGTTGTAAATGTTTGTCAGTATAGTCCAGAAAGTTACTCCCATTTGTGATGTGTACTTTGGAACATGTGGGTTGTGGGTTAGTTATGGACGGGGGTGGGGGAGGGTGGAAGGAGGGATGGGGAGGGAAAGGGAGAGAAGGGGAGGGAGGTGTGTTTGGGAATCCAGAGAAGATGTGGCAGGCACAGTATGGTTGGCTCTCCATGGGGAGGGGACAGCTGCCCTGCTTATCAGTTGGGATTTCTCTTACGACTGAGGACTTGGGACAGGATCCCCTCTCCTGTGCTGGGCCGGTGATCATCATAGCTGGCATACAGGGGACAGGCCAAGTCTTTATGTTGGGCTTCATGCACTCAAAGATACTGGTATCTGAGTTCCTTGACACCCGTTCCTTGTTTTTTTTTCAGCTGCTTTAGCTGTTACTTTTATCCCTTAGCCTGTTTCTTCTGCTAATTTCTCTGTCTTGTTAAGCATGGATCCTTGACCAGCTAGCTTTTCCTTTCTAGCCTTAAAAGCTGTCTTCCTTGTTTGGGTGATTCCTCAGATGTTTGTCTCCAGGCTGGATTTCCCTTCCACCTCCCCCACACACACCGCACTGCCTACTTGAAAGTTTTATTATTTGCATAACCATAGCCTCTGTAAGTCAGTCATCTGTCTGTTGCTGAGGTAATCTACTTGCATGGAGGAATGATTTAATTTGGTTCTTAGTTTCCATCCACCATCAATTGGCCCCGTTCTTTGGTCCTTGTCTTGGAATAGATATCAAGGTGCAAACTTGTGGAGAATGTCCGTTTACCTTGAAGTAAGGGGCAGAGAGGTGGAGGTGGAGGCTGGGGAGGAGGGTGGAGGAGGGCGGCCGGGAAAGGAGTGGGGTCCTAATAGCCCCTTTAAGGACATGCATGCTTCCAGTGACCTAGCTCCCTTGCTTTAAACTTCATCCATCTGTTAATGATTGCATCTTCACTGGAGGAGAGGGTGCCACCAGACACTAGCTACCAAATCTTGGGAGAGGTGGGGGCACTCTGGAGGGACTCTTCTAAACAGCTGCAGTCAGAACATCCTGTGGTGATCTGACCTGCTGATCCCATTTCCAGACCCTGGACCCATCGTCATCCTTCTCTTGGTCTCCCATCCCTCTGGTTTAGATGCCACCCTCTTTGTTCAGCAGAGTCCTTGACATCTTTGGTATTTTTATGCTCCTTTCTGTCCCTTTCTTTCAGTTCAGCAGTGCATGTTTCGATAGGCCCAGAGTTTGACCACTTCTCCCCTCCTCCAGTATTAATCGTAATGGTTTAAGCTCCCTGGCTTCTTACCCGTCCTATTGTATAACAGCTTCTGATTGGGGATGCCCTCCCATACTGGCTTTTATCCGTGCCAGCGACCACATGTTCCTGCTCCAAATCCTCCTGCAGTTTCTCATTTTATTGGGAGTAAAATACAGGGCCATAAAAATGTGGTTGAGTAAATATATAAAAGGTAAGAATGGACACATTAACCTCAGAATTCTAAGCAGGGGTGGGGTTATTCTCTCCACCTGAGAAGCGCTGGCCACCTATTGGCCTCCTTCCACAGAGCATCAAACGTAAAAGCAGGACAGGGAATGACCTGGCTATGGAGAAAACTGACAGGATCTCAGCTGAGGTTGGGATGAGGTCAGTGTCAGCACTGGGAAGTCACGTATGTCACTTGTGTGACATGTGGAAGATGACACTGTGGTCCAAGACGTAGTCCCAGTCTAATCATAAAAAATTGAATTCCAGTGTGTGACGGTGCTAGCTAGCTCCGTAGTAACGTGTTCATGTGAGATGCTGGTGCAGAAACGCTTCCGATACTCTCGAAATGGCAGTAAAACTGTCCATGATCTTTTTTCTTCCAGTCTTTGTCCCTGGCTTCTTTTCCAGCCCCACTGTGTTCCAGCTAGCTCGACTGGGCTCCAGCCCTACTGTGCTCCAGCCCCAGGTCTCTCTCAGTTATTTTTTCTCATCCCATTGTGTTCTAAAGAACATAGGCGTTACTTCCCAGAAATGTCACTTGTGCTAAGCTTGAGAAATACATGAAGTTTTTCTTCCCCAAAGCTCCAGTGCAGTCTCTGACTGTGTGCTTCTTCTGAAGCCCTTACTCATCATTCAGTGGGCTCTTTTTCTCTTGATAGCCTGTTTGCTTTACCAGGAAGTGCACCCACCTTCCTTCCTTCCTTCCTTCCTTCCTTCCTTCCTTCCTTCCTTCCCTCCCCCCCTCCCTCCCTCCCTCCCTCCCTCCCTCCCTCCCTCCCTCCCATATGGAAAGTTTGGTTCACTTTTCATTCAAAGCATCTAGAGATGTACCTGCCTCACAGTAGGTGACTATTAAATATTTGTTGAAAGATTTAAATAATTAAAAGAGCAACCATATGATGCGCGCGCGCACACACACACACACACACACACACACACACACACACACTTAAGCTAAAATTAAGACAGAGTATGGTAATTGAATATTTCTCTCTGTCTGTCTGTTCCTTCTCCCTCCAAATAGAATCAATTGTTACCTGTCAAGAATTTTTCTCTATTTTGAGCATATCCGATACATCCACGCACAGCTCTTCTTCCCTCCTTTGGCAAACATAAATGCGATCAGCTTAGTTTTGCTAGTCCATTTCTCTAAGTCTCATTACTCGTCAGCATGTTGAATGCTCTCTGATTTTTGATGACTGTAATATTTTACACGGAGAACTAAGAACTAAACACATTGAAGTGCTCGCAGAATTATCTGGATGTAATTGTTCGTTGCGAAGTGAAACGTCATAGTAACACTGTCTATAAAAACCTGCTTCTTAAGGAGGACAGCCCGTGTTCAGCGTCATGTTTGTAGATGGTCTTTAAAGCATTTTTCTTTATGTGTACTTTTCTATTCCCACTTCAGATGTGTTTGGATTATGATCTTTGCCTTCCTTAGTCCTTACATATGGAAAACAGAGATATTCCATAGTATGATCTTACCTTACAGCCTATAGTTGATCTCGATCTCTCTCTCTCTCTCTCTCTCTCTCTCTCTCTCTCTGCGTGTGTGTGTGTCTGTTAAACTTACAGAATTGGTTTTTTTGTTTGTTTTTTTTTGTTTTTTAATCAAACTCAAATTTCCTCAAGTATTAGAACTAGTGAGCAAATTGAGATTTCTGTAGGGGTAGTTTTTGGGAGACGGTTCTTATTTTGTTAAATTGTCCTTGTCCCTTTAGAGGTCAGAGATCTATCCGTCTGATTTCCTGACTTGTCTGTTGAGGAGAAGGCCTGAAAGCTGCCGAGCAAGTTACGGTGCCCAGCTTGAACTTGATTGAGTATCAGTTAAGCTCCTAATTGCTTTAGGCATATCGGTTTTCTTCTTTTCCCCCCTCTAATAAAATGACTAATGGGGCAAGCTGGCAGTGGCTGAGTTAAGATACTGTAAATTAATGTTGCCATACTAATTTTGCTGGGCTGTCAAGCCAGCCCTCCAGTCTGCCGCTTCTTTCACCTTTGCTAGTACCTCACAATCTGTGCATATTCATCAGAGGATGACTCTGCAAAGGGCACACTTCTGTACACTGTGCTGTCAGCTCTGGGGGCTGTGAACGAGCATTGATCCCCCCCCCCCCATGAATTTGCTGGCGTGATAAAGAACAGCTGGTGAGAACAGAGCCCTGTTCTCTGGCCAGATCTCAGCCCCGTGGATCTGACCTGCCTTCCCACGTGTTAAAGGCTACTCTTTGTTCAGGCTCCCCCTTTCCCTTCTCAGCCACTCTCTGCCCTTCCTGCAGCTCTGCCTCCTTCCTACCTTGCTTTGATGCTTTCATGGTTCTGTTTTTGTGCATGTATATCTCTTTTCGCTGGGGACGCCTGGGTGAAAGAGTATGAGGGGCTTTGAAGCTACCAGACCCTCGAACAAGGGGTTATTGATAGCAGTGATGATAAAATGTCAGTGCTCAGGATGAGATTTGCTTCTCTGCCATAGAAAGAGCGGTTACCTATCAAGCTCCTGAATTCAGGTTTTCCTATTATAAAATGACCTTTTACTGTATGCTCAGGTTGGTGTTTAGGAATTACTTCACTACACATTTGATGGTAATGATTACTGTAATTCCTTTAAATAGGTTCGCAGTACTAAATGGGACAGTAAGGAACTGCTGTGTGGAGTGAACTTAATTATTTTTATGAAGAAATAATTCCAGGATGAATTTTGAGATCAGATTACAAGCTATCATTATATACGGTCCTGTAAAAGCACCGTTTAGGATTTTTTTTCCTAAAGGCTTTGCACGTTTACAATCCTGTGTTAGCAGAAGTTTGTAAGCTTCCCAGGCTTGGCGAAACTTGATAGCAGTAACAGATTGGGGCAAGTGGACTAGAGGTTCAAGTCCATCCTTGACTACATAGTGAGTTTGAGGCTAGCTTGGGTTATGTGAAATCATGTCTCATAGAATTTTTCCTCCCAGAAAATTGAGTTTTGAGGACGTAGTTCTTGGTGTGTAAGAGGAGGCGTATACTATTCCTTGCCTACTTTTTTTTTTTTTTTACCAAAAACTGATGTCTGTGTTTGGCCTGAAGTCTTAAGCTGGACAGTGAAATTCAGGGTTGGAGAGATGTCTCAACGGTTAGGAAGAGAGTTGCCTTGCAGAGTACCTGTTCCCAGACATGCACCGATGTACATGAACACAGTAACAACCAGGAAAAGATAGCTGTCAGACTCACTTCTAGAGTTGCTAGAGTGTTGATGTTTGTGTTGGGAAGCGTTTGCTCATATTCTGTATGGGTGGGAAAGGCTTGATGCGTAAGGCCTAAGTTTAATATTTATTCTCCTCGGCCCCAAGAGACACTCTTTTCTTCTTCTGTTACAGGTAGCCGAGAGTTAGACAATGGGGAGACACTTGGCCTTGCTCCTGCTCCTGCTCCTCTTTCTCCAGCATTTTGGAGACGGTGATGGCAGCCAAAGACTTGAACCAAGCTCACCCATCCAGTTTACACACTTCCAGTACAATGTCACTGTGCACGAGAACTCAGCGGCGAAAACCTACGTCGGCCACCCCAGCAAGATGGGTATCTACATCTTAGACCCCTCGTGGGAGATACGGTACAAAATCATCTCAGGAGACAGCGAAAACCTGTTCAAAGCGGAAGAGTATGTTCTCGGAGACTTCTGCTTCCTAAGGCTAAGAACCAAAGGCGGGAATACGGCCATCCTTAACCGGGAAGTGAGAGATCATTACACGCTGGTAGTCAAGGCAGTCGAAAAAGTCACCAGCGCTGAGGCCCGAGCAAAGGTTCGAGTGCAAGTGCTGGATACAAACGACTTGAGGCCGCTCTTCTCCCCCACCTCCTACAGCGTCTCTCTGCCGGAAAACACAGCCATAAGGACCAGTATTGCAAAGGTCAGTGCCACGGATGCGGACATTGGAACCAATGGCGAGTTTTACTACAGTTTTAAAGACAGAACTGACATGTTTGCTATCCACCCCACCAGCGGTGTGGTTGTTTTGACTGGCAGGCTTGATTTCCTAGAGACCCAGCTCTATGAGCTGGAGATCCTGGCTGTGGACCGGGGCATGAAGCTGTACGGTAGCAGTGGGATCAGCAGCCTGGCCAAGCTGACGGTTCACGTGGAGCAGGCTAACGAGTGTGCGCCCGTCATAACCGCGGTGACCTTATCACCTTCTGAACTGGACAAGGACCCAACCTACGCTATCATCACCGTGGAGGACTGTGATCAGGGTGCCAACGGGGAGATAGCATCTTTGAGCATTGTGGCTGGTGACCTTCTTCAGCAGTTTAAAACAGTGAGGTCTTTCCCAGGGAGTAAAGCATTCAAAGTGAAAGCCGTAGGGGGCGTCGATTGGGACAGCCATCCTTACGGCTACAACCTGACATTGCAGGCTAAAGACAAAGGGACTCCTCCCCAGTTTTCCCCCGTGAAAGTCATTCACATCATTTCTCCTCAGTTCAGAGCTGGCCCTGTCAAGTTTGAAATGGATGTTTACAGAGCTGAGATCAGTGAATTTGCCCCTCCACATACACCTGTGGTCCTGATCAAAACCATTCCTAGCTATTCCCATTCGAGATATGTTTTCAAAAGCACTCCTGGAAAACCTAAGTTCGGTTTAAATCACAACACGGGTCTCATTTCCATTTTAGAACCCATTAGAAGGCAGCACACATCCCAATTTGAACTTGAGGTGACAACAAGTGACAGAAGAGCCTCCACCAAAGTCATGGTCAAAGTTTTAGGCACAAACAGCAACCCCCCTGAGTTCACACAGACTGCGTACAAAGCATCCTTCGATGAGAATGCGCCTGTTGGTACCGCTGTCATGAGGGTGAGCGCAGTCGACCCTGATGAGGGGGAGAATGGCTACGTGACTTACAGTATTGCAAACCTAAATCATGTGCCGTTCGTCATTGACCACTTCACTGGTACCATAAGTACCTCTGAGAATCTGGACTATGAACTGATGCCTCGGGTATACACGCTGAGGATTCGTGCTTCCGACTGGGGCTTGCCGTACCGACGGGAAGTGGAAGTCCTTGCCACGATTACTCTCAATAACCTGAATGACAACACTCCCCTGTTTGAGAGGATAAACTGTGTAGGGACCATTCCCCGAGACCTAGGTGTGGGGGAGCAGATAACCACAGTGTCTGCTATTGACGCAGATGAGCTGCAGCTGGTCCGATACCAGATTGAAGCTGGTAATGAGTTTGATTTGTTTGACTTAAACCCCAGCTCTGGTGTGCTGTCGTTAAAACACTCGCTTATGGACGGCTTGGGTGCAAAGGTTTCTTTTCACAGTTTGAGAATCACAGCAACGGACGGAGAAAATTTTGCCACGCCGCTATACATCAACCTGACGGTGGCTGCCAGTCGCAAGCCAGTAAACTTGCGGTGCGAGGAGACCGGTGTTGCCAAAATGCTGGCAGAGAAACTCCTGCAGGCAAATAAGTTACATGGTCAGGGGGACGTGGAGGATATCTTCTTTGATTCTCACTCTGTCAATGCCCATGCTCCACAGTTTAGGGGTTCTCTTCCAACTGGAGTTGAGGTAAAGGAGAACCTTCCAGTGGGTGCCAGTATACTATTCATGAATGCTACTGATCTTGACTCTGGCTTCAATGGAAAACTCGTCTATGCTATTTCTGGGGGGAATGATGATAGTTGCTTAACTATTGACATGGAAACGGGAATGCTGAAAGTCCTGTCTCCACTTGACCGTGAAGTAACGGACAAATACACACTGAATATCACTGTGTACGACCTTGGTATACCCCAGAGGGCTGCCTGGCGTCTTCTAGATGTCACGGTTCTGGATGCCAATGACAACGCGCCCGAGTTTTTACAGGAGAGCTATTTTGTTGAAGTGAGTGAAGACAAGGAGATAAACAGTGAAATCATCCAGGTTGAAGCCACTGACAAAGATCTGGGCCCCAGTGGACACGTGACATATGCTATTCTCACGGATACAGAGAAGTTTTCAATCGACAGCGTGACCGGCGTGGTGAAGATTATCCAGCCTTTGGATCGTGAAGTGCAGCCTGTGCATTACTTAAAGATCGAAGCCAGGGACCAAGCCACAGAAGAACCCCGGTTGTTCTCCACTGTGCTTCTGAAGGTGTCACTTGATGATGTTAATGACAACCCACCTAGGTTCATTCCACCCAATTACTCTGTGAAAGTTCGAGAAGATCTACCAGAAGGAACCATCATCATGTGGCTAGAAGCCTATGACCCTGATGTAGGCCAGTCCAGTCAGGTGAGATACAGTCTCCTGGACCACGGAGAAGGCCACTTTGACGTGGATAAACTCAGCGGAGCAGTTAGAATTGTCCAGCAGCTGGACTTTGAGAAGAAGCAACTGTATAATCTCACCGTGAGGGCCAAAGACAAAGGGAAGCCGCTGTCTCTGTCTTCCACTTGCTATGTGGAAGTGGAGGTCGTTGACGTGAATGAGAACTTACACGCTCCAGTGTTCTCCAGCTTCGTGGAGAAGGGTGTAGTGAAAGAAGACGTCCCTATTGGCTCATCAGTCATGACCGTGTCAGCTCATGACGAGGACACTGGGAGAGATGGAGAGATCCGGTATTCCATTAGAGATGGCTCTGGTGTTGGTGTTTTCAGGATAGATGAAGAAACAGGCAAGTACAGTTATCACTTCCACTGGTTGTACTTCCTGCTGGTCTTTGCATCAGAATTCCTAGTTGGTTTCTGTTAGGGCTCGGCGTTGAAGTACGTCCACACGTTTTTTGTCCTTTTGTGCTGTGAAGCTATACACTGAAGGGTTAAGTGTACATAAAGTGAGTAAAAGAAAATGTAATTGATTACCACAGATACTGATCTCTGAAGTTTACTCTATTGTCAAGACCATCACATCATCATCGCTGTGGGTTTGTAGTAACCTTGAAAAGCATCCCAGTTAGGGTGTTTCGTGGTGTGATGTTTCCATGCTAGTATGGTAGCATCAACACCAGTTGTCTTGCCGTCTAAAGGGTAGTGCGTACCTGCAAAGTAATGCAGCATACCCGGAGACTTTTTATTCGCTAAAACTACTTTATCGTTTGCTTTACATCCTCAAGGCTTTGAGAGGCCATTGTCGGGCAGTGGAATAGTGAACTGAAAAGACCTGGCTGCTGGCTGTGTGTTAGTTAGGGTTTTACTGCTGTGAACAGACACCGTGACCAAGACAAGTCTTATAAAGGACAGCATTTAATTGGGGCTGCCTTACAGGTTTAGAGGTTCAGTCCATTATCATCAAGGGAAGAAATGTCAGCATCCAGGCATGCATGGTGCAGGAGGAGCTGAGAGTTCTAAATCTTCATCTGAAGGCTGCTAAGAGAATTCTGATTTCCAGGCAGCTAGGATGAGGGTCTTTAGACCACACCCACAGTGACACACCTACTCCAACAGGGCCACACCCTCTAATAGCGACATTTCCTGAGCATAGACAAACCATCACACACTGCCTGTTTCAGTCAGGATCTTCTTAAAATGAACTGTTTTATCTATAAGATGGAGACATTCAGTTTTTTAGTTTGTTTTGTTATGCTTTGTGATATAGGGGACCGAACCTAGTGCTAGGCAGGCACTCTATGTAAGGATTGGTTACATCAAGATTTATGTGAGGAAGTCTTTAAGTAATGTGTTGGGTTTATTAATAGTTTTTGGAAATGGTATTGGTGTTTTGCTTGAACATGCTATTTTTCCCCAGCATACAGTTCAATTCCTGGAATCTCTGAGATAGCCAGGTTTTTTTGTTTTTTGTGTTTTAAGACAGGGTGTCTCTGCCAGTCCTGGAACTCACTGTGTAGACCAGGCTGGCCTCAACCTTAGAGGTATGCCTGCTTCCGCCTCCTGAGTGCAGGGATTAAAGGCTTGCCACCCCCTAGACAATCCCTGACTCCCCCAACCTCTGTCCCTCTCCAGTATTTAGCTTTTGAGTGTGTGTGGTTTTTTTTTTTTTTTTTGAGGATACAGATCTCTACTTAACAAGTCAGTGTTCCAATGGATGTGAGCTTTATAGAATAGGCATTTTCTGCCTCTGATAATCTGGCTCATTATTGAGCACAGAAACTGCTCAATAAACAATAACGTAATAGGTGAATTGATAAAGGTTTTGACTTTGACTGCCCTGCCCTTGGAGTGTGGTAAAAAGAGGGAAATGTAATGTTCCAACACCACTAAGGTCTGGGCGGGCCTCAGTTTACAGATTTCCTTGATGCTCTTTCACAGATCTGTGTGTTCTAAGAAGACCTTTTCATTATGTTAAAACTTGATATGTTTGGTAATACCCCACACATAAGACAACAACAAAAGCCAGTAGTAATTTTAGCCATAAGTCACCCTATCTTAGGGTGCACAGCATGTGGAAAATAGAACCTTTGTCAGAGAACATAATTTGAAGGCTACAGGCTTGCTAAAATTATGCTTTCTATTAACTCAAGGGGCTTTCCCCTAATTGATTATATTTCACTACTGTCACTCACAAGGCCTTCTCAGAATTAGTTTAAGGCAGAGGGAAATGGCGTAATCAATAGGTGTTTGGTAATCAATCTTCTGGAGCAGACTCTTTTTGGGGGATGTCCTTCTGCCCAATATAAATCAGAATTTGTGGTCTAGTAACAATATAGAAAAAGATACTCAAGAGTTAAGGTTGAAATTGATACTTTTCCTGTAGATTTTCTGGGAAGTTATTCTTAACCTTTTTTTTCCCCTCTCAACATAAATTTCAAAGCCTATAAGGAGCTGTTAGAAGTTAAAGTTGAGTCAGAAAATATAATTTGAGCCTTAATTTGCATTCTCTTCGTGACTTAAATTATGAGCACTGCCTTTTGGCTCTGTCTTTTTTTTTTTTAAGTGAAAATAGTTTTTTATTGGTTTTTTTTGTTTGTTTGTTTTTAAGGATCACTTAGAAACTGGTATTTTTCACCTACAAATTTAAGGGATGGGGTTGTTCCTGCTGCCAAATGGGGAGAAGGAAGAGACAGCCAGGCAGACAGGAGAGAGAGAGAGCATCCTAAAATAGACTCAGAGCAGTGTGCAGTGGCCAGGCAAGGATGGACTTTTTCCAGTGGTAATTTCGTGGGAAGGGAGGTGGGGGAGGCACCGGGATTCTAGGGGGTGAGATTGGTTGCCATATGAGAGATGTTACACATGTCTAGAATTATATTTAAAGGTGAGAGCGAAGCTAGAATATTCCCAAGCCATTACTCTGTGGTTCTTGTTCTACAGAGGAATAGTCTCCCTGTGTGGTAACATGTGTATATGGTTTCTGAGCTCGTTTAAGTGATGTACTAGCTAGACATTGGACTGTTGTATTAAAACATGTATGTTGGGCGGTAAATTTATCTGACCTAGGTATTTTGTAGATTTCTAGCCAGGAGATTTGATATTAAGTGAGGATTGATTAAGGCTGGGGAAAGGGTTAGTTGGTAAAGCATTGGCTATACAAGCATGAGGAGTTGACTCCCATCCTCAGGAGACAGACTCGGTTGGAGCTCTGTTCCTGGGCAGCCTAGCCAAGTTGGGTACAGTAAGAGACCGTGTTTCAGAATATAAGATGAAGGGCCTGCAAGATGGCTCAGGGCTCTCTGGACCAGGCCTGACTACCAGAGTTTAGTATCCAGAACTTGTATGGTTCCTCTTCTCCCCACCAAATAAATACATGTTTAAACAATAATAAAAACAAGGGAGAGAGAGAGAGAGAGAGAGAGAGAGAGATTGAGGAACACATCCAGTGGCCTCCACATCTGCATATATATCTGATTCATATGGACACATATAGATATAACATAAATACACACAGAACTAAAGTTAGCAAGCTAATTATTTAATTTGACCAGTCCAGAAGTATAGAAAGATACCTGTCCAATGAAGAAAAGTAGGGACAGTTTGGGAAGAGTGGGAACCTCACAGAAGACAGCCCTAAAATGCAAGGAAGCTGGAGATGGGCTGTCTGAAGTCAGGTTAGCACTTTGCTCCTTGCCCATTGTCACTGTGCCTACTTCCTGTGCCATGGGTGTATTTGACACTGCAGTCAGTGATCAGGGCCTGGGCAAGCTGCTGTGCCCGTTGTTTTTGTCAATTTGACACAAACTGGAGTCAGCTGGGAAGCGGGACCCTCCGTTGATAAATGCTTCCACCTGATTGGCCTGTGGTCATACCTGTGGGGACGTTTTTTTCCTTGAATGTTGATAGATATGGGAGAGCCCCGCCCATGGTGTGTATCCACCACTGGGCAGATGGTCCCGGGTTGCGGTTGCATAAGAAAGCAAGCTGAGCAAGCCCTGGGAGATAAGCCAGAGCAGTGTCTCTCTGTGGTCTCTGCCGTAGTTCTTCCCTCCAGTGTCCTGACTTCCCGCAGTGATCAAGTGTGACCTGGGAGTGTGAGATGCAACAGACTCTTTTCTCCCAAGTTGCTTTTTAAAAAAAAATTAGAGAAGCAAACTGGGACAACTGTTTTGGCTCTGGAGACCAAGAAACCATCGCTGTACCCGACTGCCTCTTGCTTTTGGCTTTCAGCTGCTCATAGAGGTTGAGTAATCAGAGCAGGTTTTTGTCGTGGTGGCTTTAACCATTTCAACACCGTCAGACGTGCATCTCCTTTATAGATGCTTCTCACAGGCCAGAGAACAGGGCAGTGACCTGAATCTAATTCTTGCTCAGTTTAGGATTCTTCTCTTTATCCACATCAATTTCAAACACCCACAAAAATAGTAATTAAGAAAATTTTATGGACTCCCTAAAATACGTGATTAAAATACACAGCCTTCCCATAAGTGGTGAGTTTCCTACCTGCTTTGCTAACTGCTTTGTAGGGCGGTAACATATAGTTTTGGGTGTGTGTGTGTGTGTGTGACATTCATTTGCCCATCTGATATCTTTTTCTGAGCAGCCTCTGGGTCCCAGCTACCCTCACAGATCCTGACTATCACGATCACCCTGCCACTTGAGTGCTTGCAAAGGTAGAGCATTGTGTAGGGAAACTCCTCGGGAAGCTAGTCGTCTTCGAGTACCAATTTCCGGAGCTGTAATTTCAGTTCTTGAAATGTCTAAAGGGACCGGGCAAGTGGTTTGATCGGGAGAGTATCTGCTAAGTAGACTTAAGTTTGCATCCCCAGTACTCTTATCTTGCAAGTAAATCCAGTCAGAGTGGTCCTGGCCCCTAGGCTAATGCAAGGCTGAGGCTGCGATAGGCAGATCCTTGAAGCTCGTTGGCTGCCCCATCTGGCCAAATCAATTAACCACCAAGTTCTTTGAGAGACCATTTCAGGAAATCAAGATGAGGAGGACAGAGGAAAAGCTAGACTGTAGCTCCCAAGTGTATGATCATGTGCTTGCCCACCAGCACACACCTGTGTTCCCAGACACACACTCACACACCACACACACACACACACACACACACCAACAATTAAAAATATCCTTGCTGAGGGTTCTAAAAAGGAATGCATAGAAGTGCTTGGTGAGGTGTCTTTGATGCATGTCTGGGCTTGCGTTTAGGTTTTAGCTCACCCAAATCACACTCGGCTTCCCGTTCATTTTTGCTGCGGCTCTTGGTTTCTTTGTCGTGAGCTTCGACATGTAACAGGAAAGAGAAAGAGCTTCCCTTCCGTACGCACATCGATGAACAACTTGCTTA